AAATGCTCAATAGTTAAAAGCCTGTAAATTAATTATTTATAAACCGAATGGCTGGCTAAAAATAGTCATAATTGTTATTTGGATAAATCATAAAATGAGTTTTTATTCCAGATTGCTCTATTGATTTTGTTCGTGAATATACCAGTTCAGTTACGAACGCAATCGGATTGGGAGTTTCTCCATCCTTGAAAGCGCCGTGACTGTAAATATGATTGGTTTTGAAAATTTACAATTTCGTCATCTAACGCGTGTTAGTAGATGGACCAGACTAATTTTGAGGGACTGTACAATTAGCTAAACGGCTTGAGCGTTAATCTATTGAGAGAATAGAAAACTTAATATATGGGTTTGACAATGACAATGACATATGTCAGAATGACCGTCAAGCCATTACGTACATTAAGTTCTTTATTCTTTATGTCGATTATCGCATGCGCCGTTTGGCTAACGGCACGATTCCCTCAGGATTGTCTAACAATTTGTCTCAACGCATCTTCAAACGATTTTGTAAATACGCATCCGGATCTTAACGCTAACGGGCCCTATTTTTTCGTGAGATTTTTTGATTTTTTTTGGTCACTACGTATCTATATACTAGATAATATTTAATTGAGTTATATTTAAGTCCTTAAATAACAATTTACGTCTAAAGCTTATTCTAAAATCAAAATATATAAACTTCTTTTTTTGCCTAGGTGATAGAATTCATTTTTACTTTTCTAAGTTTAATTTAATTAACCTATTTACTTTTTTCTAGACATAAATTTTCCATTAAACATTGTCTAAGATTATATACGATTAAATATTTTTCTACGATTCTACATTTTCTAATAAGAACCTGGAATATATTCTAGAGATTTTCTTAATAGAAATTAAGTTGTTATCAACCGAAGTTTTTTAATCAAAGTACCGTTTAGCGAACCAAGGTCAAATATTCACAAATTGCTCTGGGAATCTTCTTTTGCTCGCAAAAAATATGTTATCAAATCGATTGGCAGGGGGAAAACAATGGTGGAGTTTTTCTCTGCGGAAATGGTGTTCAGAGTCTGAAACAATATTTTTGGTTGTATATACTTTTGAAGTTCCTTCTAGTTCTAGAGAAGAATAGCCTTATCCTCCTGTTTTACACGTATAAGTCTGAAAATTGCCTCGTTTTCTGAGGAAACAAGGTATCGAGCCTTCATCGAGTCGACTGTACTGGAGCTCCTCCTCCTCCCTGTTCTAAAGAAGCTAGCAACGCACTTGTTCCTTAACTCGCCTGGTGATGTGTCGGCTGCTTACCATCGTCGAATGAGACGCTTGTTTGCTATGCTACCCATTAAAAAATTGTTCAAAGTTTTACCTGAAGATAGCGAAGTTGTAGGGCGGCAGGGCTGTCTCCTATGACCTCAGACGCCTCCCGTAGGGCCCGGGAGGCCTTTTGCTCTCCCTCGGCCGCGATGACCTTGGCTCTAGCTTCCCTTGCAGCCTCAGCTTCAGCGGCCATAGCGCGCTGGAGCTGAACCGGCAGACGCACGTCTTTGCTATTGTAGGAGACATTTACTTACGTAAGTTGAAATATTAGTAAAAAAGAAAAAAGTAAATCTTAGGTACTTATTGTTTTTTTTTTGTTGTCTCTGTATACAGAGTTATAAGGCATGATTTAAACTAAACTATTTTTACTTTACAGCTTCAATAAGTAAATGAAGTTTTCTTTAAGTAAACGTCATGTGTGTTGGCTTTAATTAACATACTTAGCAACGTAGCGATAAGGAAACTTTCATTCATTAAAAGCAAAATATTCAATATACTACGGTCTGCCCGCATGATTTAAATATTCGTGATATTTACGCACAATGCGAGTTCAGTACATGCATCCGCAAGCTGATTGCATTCTTTGTTACAAATGATCCGCATTGAGCCCGCATGTGACGATGACGCGCGCGTACAAATAATATTATCTCTTCAACTGAGGTATGTAAAGGTTGATGTTATTAAATATGGGAAACAAAATGACATGTTTGTAAGTCCATGCAATGTTGTGTTTCGTTACCATACTATTTTATTTCACAAATGAAAACATATTTGCGATGTTTTCTTTCACATAGGCGTTTTGATTTGTAGACCGATAAACAGGTCTGTTTTTATTTTGACTTTTTTATTAATGATTTCGTAGGTATTTTTCCTATAACCTATCATGACTGAAATTGTGCATACATGGTGAAAAGTGGCTGTAATATTGAACATGTGCACTATTTAGTCACGCCTTCGAAGATTATAAAGATTGTTACGTTTATACTGAGATACGAAATGGACTCACATTTCAACGCGTTCCACCTTGATGCCCCAGGCCTCCGTGGCCTCATCCAGCGAGAGCTGCATGGAGCCAGAGATGGTCTCGCGTTCACTTAAGATCTCGTGAAGTGGCCGTGTACCCATAGTATTTCGTAGAGTCGTCTGAGCGAGGAGCCGGGTGGAATGATGGGCATTTTCAACGTTTGCTATTGAGATTGTAGCATTGTGAACTCGATAGTAAACCACAGCGTCCACTGATACGGTCACTGAATCTTTCGTAAGAACCTGCGAATGGTATCTTTGATTTATTGTGCATTAATACTTGAGAAAATTGAATAAACAAAAAAAATAAATTTAAAAAAAACAATGTTCCCAGTTTATAGGACTGTGTTTGAATTGTTCGATGTCTTAACTAAGAGTCTTTGTTACGGAAAAAACATTGTTTTATAGAAATAGATAGTCGCGTCACTTACCTCCTGGGGCGGGATATCATACGTCCTGGTTCTGAGATCCACGCGGGCATAGGTGTCAATACAAGGCAAGATGAAGAATATGCCTAAAAGTAAATAAATTATTATTATTACCTACCTAATAACAACATTAATAGTGTAAACTTTGAAAATAGTTCAGAATAAGCCATTAAACAAAAAAAAAATCCCAACTGAAAACTAAATAATTTTATGGTATTCTTTAAAACTTAAACCGAGCTAGCTTTAATCTTAATTGCCATCGATTTTAAACAAAGTCTAAGTAAAAACGTAGGCTTTTATATGATAAATTGTAAGTTATTATATATATTTTGTAATTATATTTTTTTTTCAACGTTATCCGATCATAGAAAGATGTATGAAATTGTATGCTTTAATTGATAATAGTGTCATTATCTATTTTAAGGAGGTTAGACCATGGCTGGCGAAGACATTATTATATTGCCTTAAAATTAAGTAATTATTATATTGGAAAAATGCATCCCTGCCTATGCCTTTGGGATTGAGAGATGTGACGTTATCGGGGCTGACACGAGGTTGAAGATCGAGGCTAGAGACGTTTAGAAAGTCCCAGCGGTTTACGACAAGGATAAGACCTGACTGACTGACAAATAAAATCCAGGCACTTACCTGGCCCCTTCGCCCCTCCTGATAGTAGTCGGCCCAAACGAAAGATTACAGCACGTTCATACTCTTGAACAACCTTTAAACAAAGAAATATGAATTTAGTACGTAAAATAATAAGGTAAAAATTTATTTGCCAAACTCGATGCTGAGGGCTGTTTTTCCTATCAAATAAAAGCCACCTGATCGTATTTGATCATGGTTAACAGTCTAGTTGACTGAAAAAGAAGTAGACTCTCGCATAGTGCATGTTTGTGCGCCAACACAAGTAATATTCTGTATATTACCGTAAGTAAATATAGGACACGTATATTTATTTTTATTTTTTCGTTTATGAAAATAAAACTTAGATAAAATGAATTTGAGTTTATGAGTGGGGGACGTCACTCATAAACATTTTTATCACTCAGTCACAAGATATACCTAAAGTACCTTCAAATAAATACATCATTAAAAGTATTTGATTTTATGATATTTCTAAGGTTTATTAATCCACCAAATCTGAATTTACTTTAGTATTGACATAATTTCTATTAAAAAATATATTAACCCATTTATTTACGTATATATCCATATTCGCAATGCACACAACAATCATAACATATTATACCTATCTGATTGACGAACCGAAGAATACATTATTTACAAATTCTACATATATCTATTATTCAAAAGCGTATATTGTGATATGGCGGACAATACGTGCTATGAAAATGGAAGCAAACAGGTCTTGTTAAAAAAACATCCACTAAAACAACACAAAACATATTCCACTATTTCAATTCGATGCCCAAGCTCGATGAAAGGATTCCTAATAAAACCACATGAATGTTGTTTTTTAAAACACGGGAATGTACGATCGCGGAATGGAAAAATAACCAGCGTTGCAACCTTGTTTGCGCTCCATCAATTCGCTGTGATTCAATAAAATCTATTCAACTGTAACCACGTTCTGAAATATGCGAGTGGCGAATCTGCAGCACCGCTCATACGATGCAATAGCCTGTCAGTTTGATATCCGTTGGCAGAAGCTAGAAAAGATTTTCAAGCGAAGTGAATTTCATTCCATATCCTTTGATTGAAACGAGGCACTTAGATTCAATCTGTTTACTGTTAGAACTTGTAATACGATTTATTCAAACATTTTATAGAGTAACTTAAGCATCAGAAAACTTTTTTATAACAATAAAATAATAAATGGTGGCTGCTTGACTTCGCCGCGACGCGCACGCTGCTCGTGAATAAGAGTCCCGCTGTAACTTGAAACTTGTACACCTTTTTTTTTAGTTAATTCACTCACGATAGTCACAATTCAAAAATAGCCCACTTAAACGTTAGCTCATCCAGCCGTGTGATGATGTCACAATAAAATACATTACTTACAATTTCCCAAGGGTGACGTATGTTTTGACTAAAGTCTGATTAACTAAGAAACGGCAGTTTGCGTGGCGCGCAGGTTGGTTCGTTGTTCATTGCTCTATGTCTGTGCTTGCGCGAGTGAAGTCGCGTTCCGCAGATGTCATGTACGCGGGACAGCCCAAAGTGAACGAGGCTTAAGGGATTTTATAGTGAACAATTACTTATCCTTTTAAACTGGGATCTTAAAACCGTTGGTCAGATATGTTGAAGATGCCGCTTAGGCGACACTCCGGGCGTCGGGGATCGAGATATGATCATCTCTCGATCAACGACGCCCGAAGTGCCACCGTAAGCGCTAGTCTGCATACGGGGAGTAAGGGCATTTGTCGCCTGACCAGAACCAGACCCGACGGTGCATAGCGTTCTGCGGGGTATAAATAATGAAGCATCGTCCTCGGCCTAAAGCAGGAGAAGGGACAGGTGGGGAGGGGGTAGTCCATAAGAGCCTGACAATCTCAGCCTAGGCGGGAGAAGTCATTTTTGATGATGTTCCTCTGTCAAAAAAAGGTACGTTGAAAATTCTTTAAAACCCCTCTTTTGTAAATGAGGCCTACGTTGTCTAGGAATTATCTCCCACGGGCTCCTACTGATGCTTGATTATCATTGATAATGATAATGATACCGATATATTGACAGGTTTATTCGACGCTGCCCGTGAACAGTCGGACGGTAAAACTATCCCTATATATATATACTAACAGTGCTATCTAAACGATGCTATCAGAAATACCTATGTGAAAATGACACAAAATGACGATTATGTAGTCGAATATTGTCTATTATTATCCGATTTTGGATAGGTTAATTTGAACACGGCTATTATCATTGTTAGCTGATCATCATTACATTTACCTTCTTTAAAAAAATGCTTTCAAATCCACGAGCGTAGAAGTTTGCAAATCAATAATGTTTGTTTGTTTGCATTATGCAAGGTTATGAGTGGTATATGTACTCGTGGAACAAAACTGTGTCTATCTTTAATAAGAGTTTAATAAGCATTGCAATTCAGATTTAGTAAAGTAGGTACTATATTTATGTAGTTGTTGTTGACCTCTTTGTATGTACAACTAGGACGTAAGTTTTGTTAAATTATTAAAAAGCTTTTCAGTATAATTATTTTATAGATAATGTTTTTGTAAACATCGTGTTTTGCACGGTACGAATAAATATCCACATACACTGATAGTTCTAGAACTCAAAGACAACTCGCAGCGGAAATTGGGCTTAAAAAGTAAGCAATAAACAAGCTGCCATTTTTAAAATCGCATGTATTTGTTTTAGTACATATTTGATAGGTCTTCGTTTGGACAGTTACTGGCCTTTTATAGTATGTTAAGATTTGGCCAATGATTGTGCATGTCTGCCAATTCACTGAGGCCTTGAAACTTATGCAGACTTCTTGGCATTATCGATAATTTGTTTACACCGCTACCCATGCACATCAAGCTTTATGAAACCAGTATTTCGTGGCCTCCCTCATATCTTTCCGCTCGTTGAACGGTCAGTTTATTTATATTGGTTTTGTACTTCTATACAATCGAGAAAGCTACTAACATTTTGTCTACACCGGAACTACGTCTTTTCTTTCAGTACCTTTGAAGGAGCAGTTTGTTTCATGTAAACTAATCACATTGATATATGTATACAAGATCTCGGAAACGGCTGAAACGTTTTTAATGTATTATATATTGTAAGTACGTAAAGAGTTTCCATGACGAACAATGATTCAAACTAGGTTTCTTTCTCTTCTTTCAGAAAAACTCAGCCATCCGATTAGTAAATTTTAAATATTAACACGAGTCAAATGGACATTGTGTCGTGTCAAACGCGAACTATGACATCTATTTTATTGGACACACACACACAGCGTTACGTAACGTGTAATATTGTAGTTGTGTTTTGTTCTATCGATTTACTTTTACGTGGAATATAAACTTTTATGACATGTCAAAAGGTTATAGTATCTCTATTAGTTAAGTTGTTTTTGAATAGGTAATTATTACTGAGAAATACTACTGTTTTAGAATTATTAAGTTACTTTATTAATAGATACCTACAAAAAAATATCTATGTTTCAAATAGTTTTATTTAGTTCTGTTTACTAAATCACATTTTCAATTACAAAACTACCTACTCGATACAAAACTACATACTCGATTTAAGTATTTTTTTAAATTCCGTGATGGCATAATCGATATAGGTACTTCCAGATAATTTTTTTTTAAATAAAGATAAAAACACACCAATTGTTAATATTTTCACAGTCAATAACGTGTCAACTTTGCCTCTAAGATCATGTTTTTACTGAATAATAATGAAAAGTAAAAAAAAATAGTTCTTTAATTTAATTTTTTTTATATAATATGTGAACTTCTGTTAAAGTGTACAAATAAAAGCCTTACATGATAAAATTATTGATGATTAAGTTCTTAAAAAAAACACTTTTTTGTGTCCGCTTATTCCGTCCGCACGCTTATTGTAATAAAATAAAACATTTATTATTCTGTTCTTTTATAAATCGTAATAAATTTGGTCCACTTCTCCTTAATGTAGAAAGTTTATGGCCTATCTTGCAACCCTTTAACTAATTAATATGTTTGTATACACGACGGGCAATATTTTTTCTTATTATTGGGAAGGTTGGGCTCGATAGAGCTCGAAGATAATACTGTATAGTATGGCTCACACGAAAAGAGTTCAGCGATTTAAAGATACCTATTAAAAGTATAACAGTATGAATTGATATAAATTGGTGTAAGTAACTTGTTAAGGAAAAGCAAGCTTTGTTTTCTTAATATGACTATAAGAATATTATTGTATTAAAATCTTCTGCCTGCAACTCCATTCGCGTGGAATAGTGACTTCCTGCAGATTTTTGGTACAAAAGCTATCCTTAGTCCTTTCTCGAGTTCCAAACTATGTCTGTACCAAATTTCACAGAAATTGGTTTAGTAGTTTAGGCGCGAAGAAAAGACAGACAGACAAAGTTACTTTCGCATTTATAATATTATTTTGGATTTTGGTACTTTCAAGAGGAGATCAGCGTTTTAATAAATTATACAAAAACTTTACTATTCTATTATGATCTTTTCGTTTTTAATTTTGAAATAGTTTATGTTATATTTTTATTTTTAATACAATTTATTTATTAGAAAACTTACTTCGTAGTGATTTGACCTAAATCCCTGATAACTAATTCATTTATAAATTGAAAAGCCATATAATTACTGCCCTAAGTTGTCGCTCCTACGTGGGAATCGAACTTCGTGCTACCGTATTAATAATAACAGCCACGTATACTATACATTATTCAATCGCCATGATTATTTAATAGATAGTTATTGAATATCTTTTGATTAATTATGTATGATAGACACTAAGGGATTTAAGGTTTTGACTGCACGGTTGGCGCAGTGGCTGGGGAACTGACTGCTGTGTTACGTGTCGCGGGTTTGATTCCCGCTACACACCCGGAACAACAGTTTGTGTATTCCACAAATTGTTGTTCCGGGTCTGGGTGTCTTGTGTATGTGAAATTGTAGGTTTGTTTACGCACCCACGATACAGGAGAAAAACCAAGAAACGAATTGTAGATATAAAATGTTAAATTTGGTATTATATACATGTATACATAGTCTAGTGAACCCTATATTTTAAAATAGAACTGTTGTTATTTTAATGCTGTCTGTATATGTATATTAGCCTTGATAAAGTTAGCTTTTGCGATTGTTATTGTTAAGACGTTTTTACCTCAACATCTTACCAATTTTTACTTACATTAATGTAATTTATATTTTAATATTTTTTATGGTAAATTAGCCGAAATTGACATGTAAGGATTACCATCATTTTTATACACATACTTAGTAAGTGGACGAGAATAGTCGAGGCTAAAATTCAGTAAGTATCGGATTTATAAGGAGAGATTGAAATAAAAGAAGACGCGATTTCAAGCGATAGACGGATTGCTATCGGTAAAAAATCGGTTTTTTTATAAAAAACATTTGCCCCTAATTAGGATTATCTCCTCTGTCGTGGGTGCGGTTACAAACATACAATTTCACATACACATGACACCCAGACCCGGAACAACAATTTGTAAATCACACAAAGAGTTGTTTCGTGCGGGAATCAACCCGCGATGCGTTGCACGGCCGGCAGTTGCCGAGCCACTGCACCAACCGTGCAGTCGAGTTACTGAAGCGGTAGCCAGGTAGAAACGTGTTGCTGAGATTAGATAGAGGAGAGAATTTGGTACATCGCAAGATACAAATATACATATCTTCGCAAAGCGAGATAGAATTTTAAGTGTGGGTGAGCCAAGCTTCGGCTCGAATGGGTCGGCACGACGGGAGTGTTACCACGTTCTCACTGAAAACCGGCGTGAAACAAACACAGCATTGTATATCTCCGTGTGATTGAGGTTACCCGAAGCCTAAAACTTCCCCTCCCCCATTCCTCCACAATTGCAAAATATCTGAAATTCTAATCCCCAAAAAGCCGGCAACAAATAGACGTCAGGTAATCCGTTTGATCGTTGGTAAACTATGCCGGCTTGTTTAACGAAAAAAAAAAAAACAATCAAGAATCGATTTTAAAGGTAAAGGATCTCTTTGGTCACGATATTGTTAAAATCTATCCCGTGGTTAAAATAGATAGGAATTAGTGACGTAAGTATTAAGAGCGAGTTTTGTATGTACCTATACAGTAGGAGAAGTGACTAGAAAACAGAGGAGGCAACAAAACTTAATTGTCACCTAGTAGCAAGTACCGACTTCTGTACTCATTTTTAGTAGGTAATAGCTTTTCAATACAACTGTCTATATTGATTTTCTTTTGGTTTTCCTCTGCGCACTAATTGTGCAACTACCTGTATTCAACTCAAACGTTGCACGGGTGGCTTTGTTTAAGTTGTCGCATTCATTAGCCCCGCTTTATGTATCTTTAGGGCGGCAAGCCAAGGTCATGAAGGGTAAAATGCACTGGGTGCGTCTTTCAGACTTAACCAATCATATACCGAAATTAGTAATGTCTCTTGGGAATCGTTCAGTGACTGGAATTTCTTATAAAGAATGTTTTTTAAACATTCTTTATAAGAAATATTATAGATTATATTTGTTATGATCTCTTGTACCAATTTATAAACGTGGGTACGTTTAGGAAAATTTGATTCGAGATTCGAACCTGCAACACATTCGTTTGTCCTCTGCTTTCCTATGGAATTTTGGAATTTATATACGGGTACGCAAAACATATACTCATCAATAATATTTATAGTTTAGTATAGTATAAATTGATTAGTTGTCACATAAGGAAGAATTTTCGAAATTTTCCCTTATGGAGTGATGATCATTTAGCTTTTAGAAATTATTCAATGAAATAGAACATTTTAGCTGAAACGCTTTTGAAATTTGTACCCTTTTAGGTTAGTAAGATTTTTATAGTAGAGAACTTTTATAGTAGAGAGCTTTCGTGCTTAGATTAGTAATGATTAAAGTTTCCAAAGATTATTAAGTAAATCAAACCGATATATTGTATCAATAATAAAACGATTATTGATTTTATTTGAAAGCTTTTCTTAATCGTGATGACTATTCATGGCATTCATATTGGCATTGAGGTCAATCAACTTATGTGTGAATTGGAACACCTGATGTCCGACTAAATTATTCATAAAACGTATGACATTTGGAAGTGTTCACGGTCCGAAGTTTTGTTTATTTTCTTTGGAGGAATTATGGAATATTGTATGTTCTACTTTATGTATGTACTAGACGATGATGTTATATATTGGTCTTTGTCTAAGCTATGTTCTACGATACATTATTAAAGAATTAAGAAATCTTTTGCTCTTTTAAATAACACTTTATAAATAAAAAATGTAACCTGTTTTTATAATCTTTACTTAAATGGATTTTCACTAGATGAACGTCAAGAAATATTAAAAAATCTAACTAGTGTGGTGTTTGTATCGTGCCGTGTAGAATCATTTAATAATTAGGTAGGTACTAAAAGTTCCGAAACAATCTTTGATACGGTCAAGCAACCATAAAATGTATCTGGCAAATAATTATAATTATCGTGACGAATTTTGCAAAAAATTCTGAGTAATTAAAAAGCGATATTAAAAATAATTCGTATATTAAAAATTCTAGTTTTCCTAGTTTCTATGGGACTTAGGACTGCGTGCTTATTATAAATTTATCCATCGATCGATATAATATACGTGTTTATTGTCACCGACCGACTACCGATCATTTGTCGAACAACGTTTAGGTATTTAAATAATTATCACTGCATTGAAAGAATCAAAGTATTTTTTTTTATATTAAACTCAAATCTTTCGCGTTGCATATTAATACTTTATTGGATTACAGGATTTAACGCGCACGTACCTTTTATTTTATTTTTTTCTTATTATTATTTTTTAAATGAAATTTGTCACATAATTGTATTATGTGGATTACGCGACTCGGCCTTTTGAGAAAAAAAAATGAAAAATATTTCGTGCATATTTTAAATCTATTTTATAGAAAACATATTTCCTTTTTTATAGAAGTTTATTTTGCGTCTGAATAAATACATAAAGAGATAATGTGAGCCTTAGCTTGAAGCTCAGCCGGACATGCACTTGCTGTATGCAATTAAACACCCGCTTTTCCGCCTTTATTTTCGTAGCTTACGGAAAAATCTTAAACTTAATATTTTTTAATACATTTTTATATTTATTAAGGTCAAAATATATGATTTATGGACCTTAAATATTAAATAAATAACGAGATTTTTATTTATTGAATATGTGTTTCCCAACACATGTAATAGGTACTGAAAAAATAGGCCTTCGCGCTGAGTAATAGCAGTAATTTCTAAATTAGTCATTTGTTCACAAACATTGACACTCATGTGACGACTAGTTGACCCGGTGGCCTATAATAGTCACCGCATTCAATTTTCAGGGGAACCACTCAGGACGTAAGGTTCGATTTTGAAATTCGCCCATTAACTTTTTCGGGACTTTAACAATGATAAAAATGTATATGCTTCTGGAAGTTAGGCGAGAAATGTTCAAGGATCTTATCAAAGTTATCTCACGCGAGCTGCGTATAAAATTAAATGGTTGCCCGCCAAAGCACTTTCGCTAGGACATCACCAAAAATGTACAGATCGCAAGCTAGATATTTTAGAAAAAATAAAATACACAGTGGATATTTTCAAATAAATAAATAAAATCTCTTTCCAAATTCCAAAATCATTCTTCGTCATTATTAAATCAGCTCTTAATGCAAGATGGTATTTTTTATAAAAAATATTGCCTGGAATTTGCAAAGAAATAATTATTGACACTTACCTTAAAGCAGATGAAGAGGGAAAAGGGCATAGTCAAACAAACGAGTACCCAGGATAGGAACACTAAGATCTTCCCACATGTTTTGCTCTCAGAGTCCGCCTCTTCGTTTACTGAAAAATACCAACCATTTTAGAAAAAACACACATAACAAAAAGCAAATAATAATGTCAAAACACTTCAATTTATGTCACAAAAAACTGCTCACTGGTATTAGTAATCGTCGGATACAATTGCTGTCGACTCGACATTTCCATCATAATTTAGAAACATTTAGTAACGTAACCTCCATGCGCTGTCGGCAAGCGTCTGGTATTTACTGGCCCTGCATGCCTACTGTGCCTTATTAAACATTCACGTGGGAACCAGAAGGTGGAAACTACTACAAGTGTTTAGAAAAAAATATTAAAATAATTATAAATGAAATAATAGTTTTACTCACCGGGTTCAGCCACCACCACGGTGGTGGACTCTGAGTAGCGCGCCAGTTTGACGGTTTTACATGGCGAGGGCGTGTTAACTGAACGAAGGTAGCGAAAGGACTGAAAGCGATGTGTGGCAGGAAGAAGTAAAGCTATGAAGCAAAATAACTCCGCGGGCTGGTTACCCTTGCTTATATATGGTCGAAAGGCCAGCACTGCACTTGCGCAGGTCTTACGCGATATCATATATATGACACAGATTTCCTTTGCTCTCATTGGTCCACCAAATTGCATTATTATGTAGAGGAGTGGAGTTTTGAGATTTTGGCTCCTCCTTCTTGTAAACTCGAAACGTTACGTACCTACGTTATAAATAGCAACTTTATTACATCGTAGTAGGGGTAACTTTACACCGGTAGTTTAAAATAACTAAGCAAACAGTAAGCTAATGTTCAGTCACATTGCTATTATATATTATTTATTTAAACGATTTATAATATAATAATATTTTTCTTTTGTGCTATGAAATATAGGAAGCAGCCTTGAACACACACTGCGGTACAAAATCGTTCGATAGTTTGACCTTTGCTTGTCCATGATTATCGCATCATTATATTTTTTTCTTTATAAGTGACGTGTTTCTAAGTTGAAAAATTTATTATGTTTAATGCAAATACTATGCAACATAGGAGTTTGCGATATAGACATCTCATCTATATAGACATATAGATATATAAATCTTTGATCTCCCTTCCATATCACTTTAAGGATTTTCTAAAAATAAAAACACAAGTAATAATTTATATTTTTATTTATTATAAAAGTACAAACATTATTTAGAAATACCTATATCTACAAATGATTAAGGCAGTGTAAATTCATTTATAAATGTATTAAGATCTATATATAATTAAAAATATACAAAATAATAGAGACAACATTTCGTCACTAAATTATTGTTATAATTATGTACTTACTGGCTTATTTATTAATTTACAGTAAAATTATTTTGATACTTCCAGTTTTGAGTGGCTTTCTTTAACAATGTATTTATGTATAGTTTTATTATGTGCATTTAGTATCAGAAAAAAATAGCATTTATGACAAATTATATTTCGATAAACGTATTTCAAACACATCCTGTGCTTATTCAAGAGAACTTTGCATTTTAAAAATGTCACTGGAACATTATTAATTCTTCGAAGAACCTGACAGAAATGACGGTCACTTAAATCTAGAATTTAATATTGCGATAAGTAAATTGTACAATTTCATAAATCTCGTTTTTGAAGTATAAGATGAATATTTATTTCATGAAAACAACAATAATGTACTTAAAAAGCTCTGTACTGCATTAGGATTTTTCTCCAGTGTCATAAATGTTTTTTTACAAATTTCCAGGCACGTAACCAACAACAATTTGTAGATCGCGCAAAGAGAAGTTCCTTGTGTGAATTGTGCCGGTTGCCCAGCCGAGGTGGCCAATCATACAGTCAGTCTTGTCGTAGCAAAGAGTTGTACTACCTATGTTATCAAAACGATTTTGTGATCAACTTAACTCGCCTAAATTTGAGTAGGTAAATAACATAATTTGATAAAGCTCTTAATAGTTAGTAAAAAATAGTTATTTAGGGGAATGCAAAGGTGCACGTAAAAGTAACGTTTCACCAATAATTTAATGATGTAATAGAATTCCTACACAATTCTATAATATACATTGCGGCTTGAAACTAGACGAGTACCTATGTGTGATTTTGATGATGTAATGTACTTAATACAATTCAAGATTACGAACTATTAAGGATATTAATACAATTTTTCAGTCAAAAACCTGAAACTAGCTTTAAAATTATACTTCTTAGAATTTTATTTAAGAGAAAGCTGTATCCAGCTGTATACATATTACGATTAACAACTACTTAGTTTCTAATTAATATTATCATTTATTAAAGCTGTTTTAAACTAAGTTGTTGGTGCAGGGCTGCTGCACATAGTTGAGGCAGAACCCTCGGTTGCCGACATCCACTGGCGCTTCAATGTTGTCCGTGTGGAACCATAGACGGAAGGGTTTTACTGTACCTGCATACAAAATACACATACATAATATAAAGGTTAGCATTTATAAAGTTATCATTATTACATTATAAAGATCTCAAATTGAATAACCAATTAGAATAACAAATTGAGAATTGAATAATAAATTGAATAACCACTGAGGAGAGAATCAAGTGCCGCGGCCCCGGCCCAGAGCAGGAGAAGGAACCGAGTGGTTTTTAGTCAGTGAGTCGTCATCCTCGTCCCACCCAGGGTAGAAGAATTAATTATTTTTACTTTTCTGACAGAAATTCAGTCAGTATGGTAGATTCGTTCTTAGCAGAAAGAAGTTCGTCTAGAATGTTTTATAGCCAATACATGTCTTAAAGTCAGGTTACAATGGAATGACCGTAAAAAATTGCTCCTCAGCTTTCAATCAATGTACTGGGAGAAAGATTTAGTACAGATTGCGAAGTCTAACTGAGGCATATTAAAGGGGCGATAATATATTACATCGTTGTAAGGTTTGAAGAGTTCTTTGTAAAACGAAATTAGATTTGTTTATGATGCCGGGGTCGCAGGTCAAGCCCAATAAGGTTTCGCGTCTTCGGCTTGGAGGATCAGACGGAACGGTTTTAGTCAGTAAGAGTCTGACACCCTGCTATCATCCTCTGCCGCAGTAGGCGATCTCCAGCCACCGTAAGCGCGGGTCTGCGGACGGCGAGTAAGGGTAGCTCGCCGCCCGACCAGAACCAGACCCGAACGTACGACGCGTAGCGTTCCGCGCGTGCCTCGAAGAGTCAATGGACCACCACAGACTGACTTTCTGGCCTGATGTTAAGTCGGAGTTGCGGGGTAGGCGCAATGTGACACGTCGGCCTCGGCCTATAGCAGGACAAGGAACGGGGGGTTTTTAGTAAGTACGAGTGACCGTCTCTCTCGTCTCACCCTGGGCGGGAGAAATTATTTGATGATTTTCCACTGACAAAAAAATTTGTTTCCACTAAGACTTTTCTGTGAAGGTATTTAACCGCCTTGCACAGTTCTTGATTCACAATAAAAAAGACGGATGGATTTCTCGAGATTCTTCATTGAAGCTTGTTTTCTTGAACAAAGAGATAAGCAAAGTCTTAAGTTCTAAAGGTAGATTTTATAATGAAAAGACTTGTTTCAATTTCTTTTAGTATTTAGAAGCCTTTTGCTATTGCAAACTGTTTCTTTGCGACTCATAATTTTCTGTTGTAAATAAAATGTTAGAAGGTAATTTCTTTTAATTGGTTTGTGGATGCAGATTTGCCTTAGGGGTAATTTTGCTATTTGTCTTATAAAATGTCAAAGAATTAATTTTAACTCTAGATTTTAATAATTTATATTTGTTTTCCTCGTTTATCTTAGTTGACTGCATTAAGTTTACAAAATTTATCCGCCTGACACTTTGCAGCGTGATAATATCACGAAAAATTGTCACAACTTTGACCCTTATTATATTTTGTGAAAGGCAAATCATCAAATAACTTTTTTCGCTAGGGTATGGGGAGAGGAAGTGTCAGATTCTTATTGACTAAAAACCTGTTTCTTCTCCTGCTCCAAGCCGAGGCCGCGATACTCTAATGCGCTTGATCCGTGACCCCGGTTTGTGACTATAAAATGTGTTATAAATCTGGATACACATTGCTTACTTGAAAACTAAATATATTATATTAATACAGATATGCTATACGCTCACAAAAAGCACGAAAAATGTGCGCCAAGCGTCAGCACACTCACATACCTATCATTAATTGTAATTATATATCACTACAAATTAAAATTGTAGAAAATGGATAGTATGACAAATTTAACAAGGAAACACGAAACAGCTACTTATTGTTATCAATAACGTACTCAACGTAAACAAACATTATTCTTAAAGAGATTATTCTAGACTAAATGCACTTGCATACAATTGTAGGTATCCTTTTCGAGTCTACACTTTTGCGCGCGCATAACTTATCTGTAGTTATCTAACAGTGATTTTTTGACATGTACGTCCTTTTTTATTGAAACCTCTTTACACATTATAAAAATTATAGGAAAGATGTTTTATGAAATTTCTATAGAGAATTTCAAATTGATGAGGACAGATTTTCCATAAATTTTCTAGATTGAATATCTCATTGAGGACTAATCAAGAATATTCTGTATTGCATTGAATGACTGAATAGAAAACTGATTGCAAGGTAAATCCAACTGTGAGGCTAGGACATTAAGGTCGAGACACACTGAAACCTTAAGTGGCTTACTAAGGCGCGGGAAACACGTCAGGTTTATCTGTCTACGTTTGGTTAGTCTCACAACAATTTGAAATGGCTTAACCAACTTAGTAAGTACTTAATTTTAATCTTGAAATTTTAGTGAAAATCCAAGTAAAGTATAAAAGATGTGTAAATCGGAAAAATACTGGAAGTAAATCAATAAAAACCTTTACCTTCTCTTTTCCATCTATCCATAATTTAGTTAATTTTGAGGGGGGTGCACGAAAGAAACTGATTAAGAATTACAGATTGATGTCAGCTAAAATATAAGTAACACAAACTCACTCAGTACAGTAGAAGCTTGCATCGACAGCTCAGCTGAGAAGGTTCCACCGCAAATTCTGTCTGTACACAATGCTTGAGCTGGTTGAATTCGTCCAACGTTCGTGCCACATGGTACCAACAGCCAATCATTGGCACAATTATTAGGCCCAGCACCTGACCCAATCATAGCGTTGACTGGAGTATTACTGTTACCGCTTATTGTGAAGGATCGGGAACGATTGTTTACTGTAAAATAAAGAAAATATTAACACGAGTCGTGTTTCGCAGTTTTACCCGTGTTCACCGGGAATTGTTTAGGTTCCTGACAGAAAAAGTTTTTTTTTTAAATCGGTCAAAAAGTTTCTGATTAATTTCGATCAAAACAAACAGAGAATGAATCAAATATTTCCCGTTTATGCCATGATTATACTATTACTTTTATTTTAGAGTCTTGCTAAAGTGCAGTTTTACAGACTTGTAGATACTAATTTTTGACAATACTGCAGTCACAGAAAACCGGCGTGAAACAACCACAACGTTGTGTTTCGCCGGGTGAGTGAGGTTACCGGAGGCCCAAACCTTCCCCTACCCCTATCCCTTACCAACCCCTAAATCCCCAAAATCCCTATCCCTAAAAGGTCGGCAACGCACTCGTAACTCCTTCTTTGTTGCGGGTGTCCATGGGCGACGCTGATTGCTTACCATCAGGTAATCCGTCTGCTCGTTTGCCGTCCTATCACATAGAAAAAAGTGACGCAAGAGTTATAAGATACGAGTTGTAAGGCATAGGAACTTTTTCATAGAAAATAAAGTAAAATAAATCATTTTTTTTTTAGGTCCAACATTGTGTGTTTGTCTTTAGTTATCATATAATTTGTTATTGGTTTCAATATGAAAACATTCCGATAAATAGCAAGAAAATTGAATACCTATGTAGTTTTCTATTTAACCAATTTTCTTGCAATTTGAAAATCAGTTCTAGATTCGTATAATTTTCCATTTCAATGTGATCACAGATGATTTGTACTTCATTAGGTTCATTATTGATACTGCAAATATTATTAATTTGAATTGACGTCAATAAGATGATTTTATATAATGAACAAGAATTTCAAAGAGTAATACAATTTTATTAGCTTTATAATATCAAATAGACGTATAATAAATGAAAATCAATCAAGACAGTATTTATGCGATAAAGTGGCAATTGAGCAGACAAATTACCTGTAAGCAAATGGACAAGGTAAGATAAAAATAATTGCTAAATTTGATTTGACGTTCATGCCATTACAGAGTTCAAACAAACAAACAAAAGATATGGTCAGCTTTATAGTATAACAAGCTTTTGCCCGCGACACCGCTCGGAATGTGAATAGTGACTTCTTGCAGATTTTTGGTATAAAAACTATCCTATGTCCTTTCTCGAGTTCCAAACTATGTCTGTACCAAATTTCACACAAATCGGGTGAGTAGTTTAGGCGTGAAGAAAAGACAGACAGACAGAGAATTACTTTCGCATATTAGTTTGGATTAACTATTGATACTTCGATCCTCTTAGTAACATAAACAGGGGCACTTACAACACTAATAGGAGCAGACGTGCTCTCTGTACAATACGAACGATTAAGAAGTATCTGTTTGGTCAATACAATTAATGAAACCTACCACGTTCGGACCACGAACATGGTAATATCAACGCATGATGGATTAATATTGTTTGTAACACTTAACTATATTACAATAAATACCAATTTTGCGTGATTATTGACATATCATTATACTTTGTGTGCTTTCTGCGTTGCTAAGAGGCTGTCGTTGATTGATCTCTCATGTACGAGGGCTTCAATATTTTTTAATAATATTATGTATAAGATATTACTACATTTCTTGAAGATAATGTCTTTGTCACGTGAATTAGCTGAGCAGAGCTCTACTAGTTTCAAGTTGCAACAGGACCCTTATTTTGATTCTGATGCCGCCGCGACGCGCATGCTCCTCATATGCATAAATCGTTATTTTCAATAAATATTGTATTTAAATAAACTAGTTTTTATGTTAACTTAAATTCAGTTGGTATTTATTTTGTAAGAATTTCAGGATCAAAAGTATCTTAATGTTATTTTTTCAAAAGTAGTCTTTCCAATAAAAACATCAAAACTTTCTACGGACGATATAATGGAATTTTAGATATACGTGACGTCAAAGTACTGAAACAAATATGCATAACTTTATTGTTAAAAAATAAAAAAAAAAACATTATTTGAATCAGTGCCGTCGTCATCGGATGAAATAGGCAGATCTAACGAGCCCAAACTTGGTATGTTTACTAAAAGACAATGCAAGGTTCCTTTCATGCCCTTTTGATTCCATTTGCCAGATCAGTTCGATTCCACCACATAATTCTAATAGTATGGTTTTAGCTACTATACATAATATAAATATGTAAGTGTACGTGTTGTGGTGGTACGGGGCTTAAGGCGCCTGGTTTTCAGTGCGGAATCGGAACCTATGTGACTTATTCACGTGTTGTATGGGTACTTTAATTTTTAGAAATCACTCAAAAACTGTGAAAATAGTCGTGGGGAAACCTGTACTTGAAATGCCTAATCCGCCTTGAGCAAGCAAGGTGATTAATGCTCAAACTATCACTGTGTGGGAAGATGCCTTTTTATAGCAGTCGTCACTTATAGGCTGATGATGTTATGTAAGTATATATCGAATAAAGAGGCTAATTCAAATTTATCACTAATAATTTTTACTCTATTCAAATCACGAACTAACAAATTGATGTTTATTCGATAACATCTGTTCTACGACATCTATTGTTAGTTTTACAAACACCTAATGGTCATTACATTGTTAAAAAAAAGTAAATGGGTATTTGATGGTATCGCGCGAGTAATCGCGGTTTGAATGGTGACCATAAAGTTGATACTTCAAACATTTTCAACCTTTTACCTAGGGAAGCGACTGTAGATTAATATTGATTTTTTTTGTAGTTTATCTTAATCAACATCATAACTCATCCTATGGTTATTACATGACACGAAAATGGGAATACACATTTACATTGTGATCACGCACATAAAAAGTTCGGCGTTCAACCTAATTAACATCTATATAATTATATAAAAGAAAGTCGTGTTAGTTACTCCACTTATAACTCAAGATCGGCTGAACCGATTTAGCTGAAAATTGGCAGGGAGCCAGTGGAAGGACATAGGATAGAGTAGGTGGAGTAGGGTACGTAGAGTAGCGTAGGTAGAGTAAGGTAAGTAGGGTAGGTAGGGTAGGTAGAGTAGGGTAGGTAGAGTAGGGTAGGTAGAGTAGGGTAGGTAGGGTAGGTAGAGTAGGGAAGGTAGGGTAGGTAGAGCAGGGTAGGTTATGGTATAAGTCGGCAAACGAGCAGACGGATTACCTGATGGTAAGCAATCGGCGCCGCCCATGGACACCCGCAACACCAAAGGAGTTACGAGTGCGTTGCCGGCCTTTTGGGGATGGGGGTTGCGGATATAAGGATTGGGAAGGGATAGGGGAAGAGGAGGGATTGGGCCTCCGATAACCTCATTCACACGGCTAAACACAACGCTGTGGGTTGATTCACGCCGGTATTCTGAGAGGCCGTGGTATCACTCCGGTCGAGCCGATCCATTCGTGCCGAAGCTTGGCTCTCCCACACTTAAGGTAGGGTAGGTAGAGTAGGGTAGGTAGAGTAGGGTAGGTAGAGTAGGGTAGGTAGAGTAGGGTAGGTAGGGTAGGTACAGTAGGGTAGGTAGGGTAGGTAGGGTAGGTAGTCAAACGACGGGAGTGACGCCGCGGGTAAGAGCTAGTTAACTAATAAAATATGACGTCACAAATTCTTCATCGCGCTAGTACAGTTTGCGCGCAGATTAGGTTTGATAGACAATCGCGACCTACAACTTTTGGGTAGTTGATCAAGTTAAATCGTTAATGGAGAGGCTTAAAAAAGTGCACTTCTCTCTTATTAAGAATAGTCATATCATAATAATTAGTTTTAATGCATTATGTTATAACAAGGACACAATGGAATGTACGTGAATTCTACTAATACCTATTATAATCGCTATAGTTTGTAAGTATCAGCGACTGGACGGAACTTTCTAACGTGAAAAGTACTGAATAGATCTGAATGAGACTTGGCACTGATATAGATTATAGTTTAGAATAGCACATAATAAGTGGCTATTTCATACCCTGGTTCTAACGGCGATGACCACTGCCAATTATGTGATCATGTCTTTAAAATCTAATTAACATTCATTCAAATAGAATTGTATTTCATAATCCGATGAGGTTGATATTCCTCATACCCATTACGTGTGAGTATTTCAACCTTGACCTCTTTTAACTGATAACAAATCAATACCGGTATTACTCAATGATTTTAACTTATGTCCCTTCTGTGAAATCACCCTCGAGTTTTGTTTTGAAGATGGACAACTGCGCACATTAATAGTCAGCTATTAAAAAAGGTACCTTTCTATTTTAACCACTCTTGACGTTCAGCTTGGGGATTGTAATTTGGTCACCAAAAATGTAAATGCGTTTTTTATGTGATATGCCAATGGGGCAGATGGATAACTTGATCGTAAGTAAATGACGCCGCCCATGGCCACTAACAACAACAGAGGCGTTGCTACCTCTTCTCACACAGAGAAGGTTTGAGCATTAATCACCACGCTTAGTCGAGGTGGATTTGTGATTATAAACTTATAAGTCCAGGTTTCCTCACCATGTTTTCCTTCATCGTTTGTCAATGGTGTCTCAAAACACTAAGCAAGTATATACAGGTAACTTAGAAAAAGTCACATTGATACTTGCAAGGTTCCAGGTTTCCCGGGAGCTTAAATCTCTGGGATCTCCGGGCCGCCACGACCTTTTGCTAATGTAAACAACAAATGTAAACTTACTAATAAAAAGGTATAAGTAGTATAGCATCGTATAGTATCAGTTCTGAGTACTGTAAAACCGTAAAGGAAAAGACGTTTCCAATCACACAAGCTAGCCATATGTTGCCGGCTCCAAAAGAAAAACTAACCTACATAACTCTCCCACAAAGATGAAAGGACAAACCATCAAACTCACTTAAAATACCAATCTTAGTACGATAAACATACCTACAATAATTTGTTTTGTGTGAAGATAAGTATGATCTTGTAGCTCTTACCAGTGTCAGGGCAAGCGGTGTACTGGATTCCACAGAAATTTCTTTCCATCCTCACGCAGATTCCATAGTCTTGGTTACTAAGCTGCAGACCAGATACAGGATCGTAGTTGAAGGACCTTAGTTGTCCTGACACACCAGTGTAATACTGCAAGCATCCTTCGTCAGCTGTCCAATAGAAAATTTAATTACTTATGTTATTTTTGAAGTTTTTTTTGCATTTACAAAGATATTGTGACATTCACGATAAGAAAAGAATGAACATATTATTTGTTTGACTTTCATTATAATATTATATAAGAGCAATTAAAAAAAAAACGGCAAAATTACTTATACAAAAAACGTAGAAATCTATGCAATGGGTAAATAGCACTTCTTCGTAAACTACTGGCATTTATATTACAAACTTATTTCCTTTTTACAATAAATATTACAAATGTAATATAGGATTGCAAGATATCTCTTGGACTTATTTCATGGTCAAACAAAGCAATTTTAGTACTTCACATTTCCTTGTTAAAGTTGAGGTGACGAAAGATGATCTCGAACTTATCTCGATAAGTATATAAGCTTCAAGTTTATAAGTTCTAAATGCACTAAGACTAGTAGAATGTATTGATTGAAGCTTGTGTAACAATAGAAACTTTAAACAAGCAATGTTCGCAAGGCACATGCCAATCGCACATATATTTAGAAGCCATACGAAACTATTCGGTGTATGCTGTAAGTTGTGATTCAAGATGCCTCGTCTGAACTATGCATGCAGGATAAAATACTTTCCTCTAATTATGTATGGCACACAACACATAGATGTGATTACAGAGCTAAAGTTTGTTACAAATATGTATAGTGTATGTAATATTGAAGTGAATACTTAATCTAAGTATTAGGCGATAGAACATATTTCAACGGCTAAAACTTCGTTGTAGCGATGTATTTGTTGTCATTGCAAAAAGTAACTTATTAACACCACATTAGGTTACAAAGTAATAATTTTACAAGTTAACATTTTGAATTGTTTGATATACGATCACGGAAAAGGCGAAAACGACTACTCAAATTAATCATCAGTAAAGATTTTTTTGTAACCGTCAAATGGCTAAATGTACGACACAAAGTGACAATTTATTAATACGATTTCGGGACAAATATTGAATGTAAAACTAACTAGACGAAGCCGACACTTGCTATATACTCCGAGAAGAAAATCCCAAAAAAGAAGTCAGAAAAGCAGACTAAAATAACATTACGAACTTCAAAAAAATAAAGTACCTTGTCCGGCGACAAACAAAAGAACCTTACCTCCATCTAAAATTAAAATACACGACGTTTTGTATTAAATAATTTAGGTCTTCGGTAAATAAGTTCCAATGAAAATGCAGATGCAACTAAATCCTTCCAATGCTCTTTAAAAACAAGACGGCAAAACAAAAAACCAACCAAAGAACTTTCTAACAAAACGTGGGTTTTCAAAGCAATGTTCGCAAGTTCGAGAAGTTGAGTGGAATTGAAATGGATTAGGTCTGAATCTGTCTGGTTTCCTATCTATCAGAAGTTTTGAAGAACTCATCTGGGCACACTGGGATTAAGTTTAACCAGTGGTATTAGATAAAGAATTTTCTAGTACTATTGTAGTGGTTCTAGAAAAGAGGCTTCATTATGTCGTGTTGGTCGACGTGAAACTTGAGAGTAAAAACAGATATTCAACTTAATTTAAAAAAGGATTGTCATCGTGTATTGATATATGTTATGTAAAACTGTATATGTTAATTTGACGATTTACCTTTGTATATAGTGCTGCAGGGTATCTGCGTCACTTTGACCTTCCATAGTCTCTCAAACGTCGGTCCACTCGTCACGAATGTCAGCTTTACTGGATTGGTCATCCCGATACCAGCATCGATGTACACTAAAATAAAAAAAAATAAGTAAAAAATATTGATTTTTTTTTAATCCTATTTAATCTTAATCTAGTAGGACTTCAACTGGTACCGTGAAAGGAAATGGCAAAGGTAGGCAGGGCTGCTGCAGCGGAAACTTTAAAGTATTTTTCAGTTTATTTTTATTTATTTTCTACAACAGAATTTCCTATTGAGCGGAAACTTATCGGAGAAAATGTGAGTGCCTGATTTGCCACAAATTGAATGATGCAGATTTTCTGCATGCCTTCATAGTTTATAGAAATAGCTCGTAGTGTCTGTTTATTTTAAATAAAATGTAGGAGTATGGATACAGGGACTTATTACCACGTAACAGGTAGAATATTATGTTAGTACAGCCTTATTAGTGATAGACTATTCAGCAGCTTGGTTTAAGATGCGCAACGTATAAAGTTACAATTACAACCTTATTCATAGAGTCACAAGCCCACTTGGCTTCATTTGAAATTAATACGCGCTCAGGGAGTCTTAATAGTATCACTGTGTACTGAATATAATATCAACTGAGCAGGGAGCTGCCAGGTTGGATTTGCAGCCATTCCTGGAAAGACAACATCGTCACGTCAAAGGTTTCAGGTTGAATAGGTTTACATTGCCTTTGACGGCAGTTCCATCGTATTATTGCATTCCTAGAATCCGTAATGCGATGCTTGTTTGAGATAGAATCCTAATAAGGCACCGACGCGACGTGTGCAATAAATTATGTTTCTCTGTTAGTTAGTAAATCGTGGAAGCTGGGATTTAAATGAAACGGAGCCACGGTGTGGAGGTGAAATGTTTCACCGCGCTACACTTTAGCTTCATTTTATATTTCAATGCACTCTGAAATTTTCAAACATTTAATTCGTTGCTAGGTTTAAGATATTTTTTGTTTCGATACTTACTTAATTAAAAAATTTAATACAAAAAAATACAAAAAAGTTGAAGATTGGGTATACTTATGGGCTAAAATGTGACTTTATAATTGTACTTTCACATTTTTTGAGGTATATTGTCAACGTAAATGTCACTAACAAAATATAAGCAAGATTCATTCCTCATAATATTTCAATGATTATAAACAGACAGAAAATAATTTTGTTTTTTCAACCACCGACCGCCGGTAATTTAAATGTGACAAGTTTATTGGAAAATGAACCTTTTACCATATGCGTCAAAGTGCATCTATGTCAAAATGTTTCACGTTGTCGCCCTTAATCTGTAGCTGAATACCACCTGAATACAGACTAAGAGCCTTCTAACTAACACATTTTCTGAAACTAAAGCGAGCGCTGTGCGCGTATTTTATAAGGTCTGGCTTTTTAATGAATAAAATAACATGTAAATACTTATACTAATTAGTTTTGTTTTAATTATACTCACAGCCAATTTTGGCGTTGTTTTGAATTCGTGTACTTTGTGGTTAGTCACAAGAAATTGTAGTTGTTTAGTTTTTTTATAAGTTAATTATTAGCTAATTCATTATGATGTTTGTTCGCAGAGCTATTTTGGTGTTTATATTGCTAAATTAAAACTTTACGGCAATGTTGCAGCGAGAAATGTGTATTTAGCGTATGCGTATGATGTGATAAAATACTGTTCAAAACGTAAAAATCAGTAAGACTATCTAAATCTGATTTAAGTACAGAAGTGACCTCTTCACGATCCGCCACAACGTTGGATCCCTTAGAATCCGAAACTTTGACCTTAAATTAAACTTACTGTGACTTCCCTGGTTGTTTCCACAAATAGCCGGTACAGGGTTACCTCCAGACACAATGAATTGATCTTGGTTGCAGACGTTATGCATCTGCTCTGGGCCAGCGATGGAGAACCGGTTGAAATCCAACCTGAGAACATAAAACACGTATATACTACCATATACATAAGGGTTTGTCGTGAGGCCCTCAACCGAGTGACGGTAACTCGCACTTCTTGCCTGGCATTATTGCGATTTAAAAAAAAGATTTCCTCAATAGTCCTGTTCTCATCAGGAGAAGGACAGGATATTTCTCTTAAGGGTTTGAAATCAAGATCTTCGATGTACAAACTTAAAAAGTTCAAACGTATTATCTTAGACGTGAAGAATATTCATATTACTAAGTTTAATAATAATAAATAGGTCTTAAAGCCAATAAGATTATTTATTTATATCAAGAAGTAGTTTCTATCACGTCCCACGTTTCTTTGATTTGATGCGAAGTCGTATGCTCTCAGTACCTGGAAAATTCTATTTCTAGAATATTATTTTAGTATACGAATCAATGTCGTGGTTGTTGTACTTGTAATATTCTGCATTCACTTCAATAGATTCAATAATAAAATTCAGACGATTAGGTGGCCTGAGTACGAGTTCGTATGGGGTGTCACCCCATATATGATTTTTTTATAATCTTTATCTGTTATCACGTTGGTTATGTAGTGCAACCATCACATGATGTAAATCAAGTGTAAAGCTTGTTCCTAGATTAACAAAAAGGCATTTATAATTTCTTATTTATTATTTAATTCAATATGTTTATGTAAACACAAAATAAATTAACTAAAGAAGTCTTTGGCAAGTAACACAAAAGGCTTTTGAGAAGTGCAGTACAATGCACAAAGGAATGAATGAATGAAGACGGCTTTTGACTGTCATTAATTCGAATTTAACAAACTCTGTGCCGGCTCAAAACTAATTGAGAAAATTTAAGACAGAATTTCTCACGGGTTTGTAAATTAAAACTGAACTAAGATGTTTGTAGAAATTATGCTTATACAAATAGGTATTTCATGTTGTTGATCGAACATCCACCATCCTGTTGCTCATCGTCCGTATAGAACCAGACCCATGCTATTTCTCGCGTTCCGTTTCGCGCACCCCTCAATAAGCTACCAATATACAACCATAGATAGGTCCCCATAGGGCTGATGTTTAGCCGGGGATGCGGTTGCAAGTGCAAATAATGTGACGCGGCTCCGGGCTGGATAAAAGAACGGGGTGGAGATGTTCATAGATATTTATATTTGTATAATACAAATATCAAATCAACACTGTTCAGTTTTATACACAACAATTACAATGCAAATAGCTACAATAGAATACAATAGAAAGAAAATATGGTTTCCATTTCTTTGTCAATTTTTATTGTAAACAGTCTTACAATGCTATGAATTCAGTAATATAAAATGATGCGTTTGTCACAATGGAACGCTATCTTTTACGAACCTTGCATTTTTTTAGCTTCAACATACAAGACGCAAATGTAATGCAACATACTGAGATTCTTCTAAGAACAATATAGCGCAGTTTTAAATTATTAATATATGTAGAATATCCCACATCCCCCAATCCCTAATCCCCAAGAGTTCGGCAACGCACTCATAACTCCTTAGTTGTTGCAGGTGTCCATGGGTAGCGCTGATTGCTTACCATCAGAAGTAATATATCACATAAAAAAATTGGGCTTAAGTATACCTATATTATAGTAATAACATTCACATTATTATATATTTTATTTCATTCAATTCAAGTGTGGGAGAGCCAAACTTCGGCACGAATGGAACGGCTCGACTGGAGTGATACCACGGCCTCACAGAATACCGGCCTGAAACAACCACAGCGTTGTGTTTCGCCGTGTGAGTGAGGTTACCGGAGGCCCAATCCCGCCCCTTCCCCTATCCCTTCCCGATCCCTATATCCGCAACCCCTTTCCCTAACCTAACCTAACTCTTTTGGTATTGCGGGTGTCCATGGGCGGCGCCGATTGCTTACCATCAGGTAATCCGTCTGCTCGTTTGCCGACTTATACCATGAAAATAAAAAATTCAGTTAAAAAACTTGAAAGTCAAGATTTTAATAATTTTGCAATCATACTGTAGATAGAGTGTGGACATTGTGCAGAACAATATCATTGTCTCAATATGTCACGATGACGTGGCTTACGTGATATCAGATATTTCTGCGAGAAAATAAGGTCAAACTGTAGTAGTCTTTCCTAGAAATATATCGTAGAATGAGAACGGATATAAAGTTCAGTTGAGATACGGTGATAGTTGAGTAGATATCAAAGTGTATCAACAAGTATTGAGAGTACATCGGGTCACGATATGACAAATTCCTGGTTGATAAATCAACGAAATGTAAATAAATTTGTCGGTATTTTTATGTTTTTTTTTGTTTTCTGGTTGTAAAAAATGTTATTTGTAATAACATCAACGACATCGCTGTTTCTATCTAAAAAGACTTTGTGATAAGTACTCATCATTCATATATAAACATCACAAAAAATATTTCATCCAGCATGGATTCGTTTGGTCCCGAAATATAAATTGACTTTCTGTCGATAAAAGCTTTAGTTTTCCAGAGTCAGCCATATTGAAACCTTTGGAGCAGAATCACAACAGGATGAAATAAAGTACTCCACTGTCGATAGTTTGTGAAGCTTTAATGAACAGCGAACGCGCCTACGAGCTGCGCTACAAAGGCGCCGTAGCACGGTGTTTGTAGCCAACGAATATTTCGTAGCACCGTTGCTACGCCAATATTTCGTAGCTTCACTTCATTGAACTTTTGCAATACGTGATTGCATATAAAATGTATGAAATTTGTCATATGGAAATGGTATTGTAAATTAAGTCTTCTACATACGTAGTTAAGTACTCGAAAAGGATGACTTGAGTTGCACATTGGTTCTTTTGCTGAAGTAATATCTATTGGAATGATTGATATAGTTACTTTAGCAACGTACTTTCAATCAAACTTTAAAAACAATGACTTTGTTACGTATTTAATAGCATGAGATGTTGAACAATTTTGAGTTCACTATTCATCCTATATTTCTAGCAACCTTTATGCAGTGGCATTAAATAAAAAAAAAAACAAAATATGATGGTTTATATTATGTTCAACAAGACTTTGTATCGTTACTAATCCTTTCACTTAACTACTTAATGGCTAGAAAGCTTCTTAGTATCAGATAAAGCACGTTCCTGTAACAACGCATTTTTATCCACTTGTCTTTCAAAGTCTTAACTTAAAAGCATTTTTAATAAACGAACTCTTACAAGACAATAGCAAAAGGCACTACTTACAAGAAATAGTTTAAATTTTCTTTTAAGATGCTTCAATACCTTTGTGAAGCCATCTTTTAAAAATGCGATATTCACATTATTATGTTCACAGGAAACCATTTTGGAACAGAAATCTTATGGCACGCGGAAAAATATTTTCTTTGAAGGATGGACGGTTTTTTGAAATATAAAATTAAAAATTATTAAACGCTTGGTAAAATGCTTGGTAAGAATGCCGTTGTACATTTTAAATTTTGTAAATTATTTGTCCAGTTTAGTTATTTACTGAAAAACTTTTATTAAACCTTTGTATTACATCTTTGCAATAAACGTGTCCTCATATTCCTGGAAGGCGACACACTCGTACAGTAAGTACCCTTAGTACTTTCTCATTTATATTCCATTTTGAATCCTTGTAGTCTCCTAACACGTCCTTTTATGTTTCATAACGAACTTTTCAATTTAGACGACGATAGTTGCGACCTTTACGATTTACATTTACGATAGTTATAGTATAAAAATATTTTTCAATCACATGGTGTCATTGTAGTAACAGTTCAACTACACCATTAAATTAGGCTTTATCGGCCAAATTTTACTGTTCTACAAATATTATTAATGTGAATGTTTATAAGAATACATAGATGTATGTTTATAATTCTAACACAAAAATTTTTTTTATTTGATAAGACGGCAAACAGTCATACGGATTTCCAGTTGGTAGACAGTCCCATGGACACGCAACGACGGTAGAGTTACGAGTGTGAAACAATGAAGCTGGCTGGAGGGATTTGGTTGAAAATTGAGTATGTAGATAGATGATAGCTTGGATTAACACAGGATGTTTTTTAAAAACAAACCACGCGGTGGTAGCCTCTTTTGGAAGCTAGTATAAAATAAATGTAAAATGGTACCAATAGTAGTTAAGCAGATTTTTAATTTGAAAAACTGCGTATTAGATATATACACTCTTATTAAATGTACCTACCAACATATTCTATTTTTAAATGCACAAACTAACCTTATTTGACAAACATCAGGATGGGATTTGATCACAGTTAGTTCACATGAACCCGTGCCATCGTACACAGATGGATATCCTGAGTTCACGAAGTATGTGCCATTTTCAGAAGTCGAACTTCCACATGACGTCATAACTGAAAATAAATATATAATACGTTTTATTATTAAGACATAAGAATCGATTTTGTTTAATAGCATTGTAACAGCGTAAGCTGTTACAACTATACTGTACCAAGTATAACAAGTATATGAAGATTTTAAATGCTTGTCTTTTGTTTTTCTTGTGTTTTTGTTCAAACCTAAATTTTTTATTGAATACTAGCTATTCTCGTGCAGTTTCAACCGCTGCTTGGCTCGTGATCATGCGGTTTCAGCTCATTTGATCGTAGCGTGATGTTTTATAGTATAGGCTATAAAACATCACGCTACGATCACTCAGGAAAATTGTAGCTACGAGTACCTATCAATTAACGAATTTTGGCAAAATGACCAGCGGTTCCAAAGATTACCGCCTATATACAAACTTACAAATTTTGCTTTTTTATAATATAAGTATAGATTAGAGTATATAATAATAAAATGATCTATAAATTCAAGTCTCCTCTTAAAATTGTTTGAGCATCAATCTCTTATGTAACAAGATAATAGAATCAATAACCATTACAACGAAGCCACACCTCTTTGTTCCTATCTAAGGAGAAGACACGCCTACATAATCGTGAACACACCCACTTTTGAATTATTGCTCTAGCTACAGGGATTATGGCCTCTTTGATATGCAAACGCGCGCTATTGCTGTTGTTAGGAATCGCGCTCACGGAAGCCGCTTAAATTCACAAGCTCTGTTTCGTTTATTTCTTTGTCAAGAATATCTTTATGTGTTTTTATACTATTTTTGATTTCACTAACAATAATTAAAAATAGAATCTATATTTTTTTTAATCCTTGCCTTACTCTAAGATTTTCTCCTGTGTCGTGGATGCAAAATCATAAAAACATGAAACCCAGACCCGGAACAACAATTTGTGGATCAAACACAGAGTTGTTCCGTGCGGGAATCGAACCCGTCACACGTTGCACGGCAGCCAGTTGCCCATTTAACCCAACCAACCGTGCAGTCAAGTATCAAGAAACATTAGTACCAAAAATCTTTTGAGAAATATTTTTAATGAAGCATTTTTGGTGTAAGTTATACTCACATATGCAGCAAAGTCCAAAACCGTTTGCACAGTAGCCGTTAGCGGAGCCCCCTCGTGCGGTACACTCCCGCGCCGTCATGCAAGTCCCGTTATCACCCGATGCACCCGCGCAACCGCCATTCGGGAACGTCACCACAGTGAATAGTGATAGAACTGTGTAAAATAAATAGGATTTTTATTTAAACAAAAATAATATTAGACGAATAACAGTCCACAATCTGGAATTGTACATCATACAGTGAGAGATTTACTTCAAGAAAAAAACTATAGGATATAATAAAACAACAATAGTACGTAAAAATTTTCAGTAATTTTTCGTCGTATATATTAATGTAATCAAATGTTTACCATTGAAATGTATCTTTACGTGGATGCTTGTAAAAAAAGCCTTTACAGCGTGACATAATTAGAATTTGTCAATTGTACCTACACCGTCCACCGTACACAGTATGCGCGATATTATTTATCATTTTAGATTTGTTTTCCTACACCGTACAATTTCTGTTAAAGAAAAATTCAACAAAAAGCAAGCCTATGAGTTTTCCTAATTAAAAAATATTAAAAATCATAGCAAGGAGTCATAAGTTGGGTAAGGTGTAGGAATCGCAAAAGTCACTCTATATTACAACGAAGATTCGAATAAGAATGACTATTAACAAAACAAACAATGCCCTATTTTAAATGCAATAAGTCTAAAAATCACTTGCATAATGTTAAATTATTCATCATTTTATTTTAAGATAAACCGGTTTAACGTTGTAGGGCTGTCGAACGTGGTTCTCGTGAATCGAGGAGTTGTCCGTGTCGTAACTAGATGGTGTTGAGATCGATTTAAATCGCGCTATGGTTTCGTTACAAGGGAATTATGGGTAGTCACTGCTCGAAGTACTTCGAGTAAACATTTAGGTGTACTCTTGCGTTAACATCATAAATTTTTTGGAAAACTGTTAAGGAACAGTTTTAAGAACTATTATTATGACATAATAAGATGCTTCGCGCCCACAAATGGGTGAACATTATGTGTACAAGACAATAATTTTAGTTGACAACATTAGATTTTTTGTTTCTCATGCATGAGAGTGTGGGTTACCAATGTGATTTTTTCCGCGTTAAATGTACTTTCTATGATTATTTAGACACCACTGACATACGGTGAATGTAAATTATAAGTTTGAAATCGCCAACCCGCATTGAGCAAGCGTGGTGATTAATGCTCTAGCCTTCTCTGTATGAGAAGAGGCCTTTGCTTAGCAGTAAGCACTTATAGGCTGATGATTTGTTTGTCAAATTCGTATTAACTAATAATTGGCCTGTTCCTTTTCCTACTCCGGGCCGCAACGGAGATACATTTTGCAATGGCGCTTGCGACAATAACCCTGGAATAGATCCACTTAGTTCAAGGCTCAATTTTGAATACCTAAATAATTTTTTTTTGAAGAGAACAACACATTCATTTTATAATAATTAATTCAACAGAATATTAGTTTTATTCATTTACTAGCGGCCCGCCCCCGCTTCGCACGGATCCAACTATCTCGCTATTAAAGGGTTCTAATCTTCCCCTCTACTTTTCTAATATTTTCTTTGATAGGAACCTTCTCCTGACAATAATAAATACAAAACAAAAGGATTTGGCAACATTGGTTTTTGAGTTATGCGCTTACCAATACATTTTGCGATCCATTTTTATATATAAGATTCGTTAGAGTGACATTAGTTTTATTTGCCGTGTAATGAAGTGGACTCTTGATGATTTATAATTTAAAGGTAAAAGAAAATCTCTTTTTGCCAATAAATGAAGAGTCTTGTGTAAATCTTAATGAAACGAAAAAATAATGTACTTTTTATTTTAATAGATACATTTTGTAAGAATTCATCTTGATACCAGCACCATCTAGTTGGTACATTGATAACTATTATTCCTCAAAAACGATAATACAACGTCAACTGGTTTTGTAAAAAATTTTATACTAAATGTGGAAGGGGTTGTCTGCCCCTAACGTTATGGAGTGTAGCAATGATTGCATGTTGTGCATAAACGGTCGTACCGTTCCAAGGTTACTAAAATCTAAATATAGCGCATCGATAAATATTATAACCAATATTGCGTGCTTTGTTTTTGGTCCACGTACGGTATATCATTTTTCAGTTACTTAATACACCCATACATATTTCCTTAGGTTCCTGACCTTAGGTCAGAAGTTAAAATCAAATTACCTATATTAATTAACGTCGTAATATTCAGGTTTTAGGTGTGGATAGTGATAATTCAGGTATGAAAGATCTGTAATTCACAGTGTGAGTAAAATAACCGGTCGCCCGATCGTCCGATGTCTCTGTCCCTAATCCTCAAATCCTCCTTTGCTGAAATCCATAACCCGTCTTGCGGTTGTCCATAAGCGACGTCAATGCTAAGCAGCAAGAGTTCCGTCAGTTTGTTTTCCACCACATTTCTATGTAAAGATATCTACTTCAAGATACTTTGAAAGTAGTCCTTAGAAGAGTACACTCACCGATTCAACCGCATCAAAACAACCAGGCGTCTTAAGTGTGGGAGAGCCATGCTTTGTCACGAATGAATCGTTTCGGGGATTAAAACCGCGCGAAATACTAACAAAAAAAAAATCTTTATGGTTATCACTAGCTTTTATCTATGATCCTTGTGGACGTAGCCCCTTCTCAGGCAGAGAAAAATTTGCAATAATGACCAAGTTTGTGAGGTGTGCAAATGCGATGAAGAAAATTGCATCAATTAGTTTCAGGTTCTTTTTTATTTTAATGGTGTTTTTTTTCTTCATTTATTTGAGGATAGATGTGGGTGCTTCGCGGAGGAGAGGAGACGGTAGAGGCATTGAACATCCGGTGCCTCATTCGTATTGCGCTCAGTAAAACACAATTTAAGCATTGTTCCACGGCTATTTTCTGAGGTTGTGGTACCATTACGGTGGAGCCGGCCCCACACTTAGCACGGCTCTCTCACATGCTTGTTTATTACTTTATAACTTGTTATTTTGCAATTTCAACATACTACGAGTATGTTTATCAAATAGTGCAATCTCAGTCTCCTCAGGAATTTTGTATTTTATAGCAATCTGCAAACAAAGTAGTAAAAAACAGAAAATACTGAAACTAAACGTATAAGTGCTGAATATGCAAAATTTAATCAAAGAAGAGGTCTATCTTTACAGTTATCATCATCACCTTTGTTTGCCTAAATGTTTTTTTTATGTGATAGGACGGCAAACGAGCAGACGGATTACCTGATGGTAAGCAATCGTCGTCGTCGATTGGGAAGGGGTAGGGGAAGGATTGGGCTATGGAAATGTGACTGAGTAAAGGCCTCTTTCCATACCAAGTGGGTTTAATTAATCACCACACTTGCTCTTTTTTTTAATGGAATAGGAGGCAAACGAGCAGGTGGATCACCAGATGGTAAGCGATCGGCGCCGCCCATGGACACCACGTTGCTGGCTTTTTGGCTATACGGGTTCGGAGATTTAGTGATCCTCCGGTAACCTCTTTCGTACGGCTAAACAAAACGCTGTAGTTATTTCACGATGGTCTTCTGTGAACCCGTAACATCATTCTGGTCGAATCAGCTCAATTGTGCCTTAGTTCGGCTCTGTCACACTTAAACGACATTGGTGAGCCAAGATTGAGCTGGCGGTCTCATTTATAAGAAACTGATGCCTGAACCCGTAACATCATTCTGGTCGAATCAGCTCAATTGTGCCTTAGTTCGGCTCTGTCACACTTAAACGACATTGGTGAGCCAAGATTGAGCTGGCGGTCTCATTTATAAGAAACTGATGCCTTGCTAATAATAACCTTCAGGCTACCACGGCATCTACATTCATCATAACTGTAATCTAATTCAATAAACAGAAATCCGAACGAAATGAAAACAAATAGCTAAAGACCAAAATAATTCTAAATCTAGGACTTATATTTTACATGAAACTGAGCACTGAAGAGGCAGTCATTTGTAACAATCTTCAATACTAAGTAGATATGGCTAAAATCTGAAATCCTCTACATCGTCTTTGGGGAATTAGGAAATTCAATGAGCAACCTCGTCTTTAATAAGCTGCGTTTGCGATGACGTTGTTAAGTTCGTAGAGGTATTAAGTCTGATGTAATAGTTTATAGGATTATTGCTTTTATATTAATAGCTTCTTGACCTTTTTTCCAATAATTGTTCTTTAGAATTTCAAATTAAAATTGATAACGATTTATTAAAAATCAGTCGCTCAATATAGGTTGCACAAAGCTGGATTTATACTTTTCAGACAGGCTGAGTAACACAATCGTATGTAGGTGATATATAAATATAATTAAATATTTGTTTAGAATATAAAGGAAACGCAATCGCACATTAAAACAATTTAAGAGTATTTGTAGTCACGAAGTAAAAATATGTGCACGATACCAATTTAAATAAAGTGAACTGCCAGCGAAAATTACGTAATCACTACAACTTAGCTAAATAATCTTGCGGTTTTTAAAAATACTTACACCTGCTTTCTTTTGTCCCTGGCGGCCAAAACCGATGGTCCTTCGACACATCTTGCACTTTCCCTTTAAGCCGATTAGCGAAAACACCCCGAGACTTCGAAAACCCTTCACTGGCTTCACAAAACCCGTACAGAAACGCGATAATCACCAAATTACCTCTCATCTTCACCGAGTAATCACGAACGCAGGTATGCCGCTGTTATAATGCACCATTTTATATATAATGCTGTCGGAAAAGGAAACAATAGTGAATTTCACCCATTACATAGATGACGACAATAGGTTATAGCGATAATTTTCTTTTGATCAACAGCCTGGAACGTGATCACCACTCGTTGTTAGATATAATGATGCTACTTACCTACGTAATCGTTTTGCAGTTTTGTTGATAGTACTCCCATATTGTTTGGCTAAATGTTAAACTGCCTATAATAGTGATAATGAGCCGTTATGAAAGTTCTATGTGAATGTGGAGTAATGTGGAAATATATTTGTGAATCATTTTGTACTCTATAATTTTTGATTTGCAAATTCAATTTTTCTGCGAGATTTTATTTACTTATGTTATGTTATGACTAAATAGCAAATTGAATGGTGTAAAAATGGAAGTGGACTATTGGATTTAATATTTTTATCGTACCTACTTATAACTAAAAAACTTAAAACATAAATAATTATCGTAGGGCTATGCTTCACGAATGGGTCGGCTGTACCGGAGTACCACGGCCTCACAGAAGTAGGCCCAATCCCTCTTCCAACCTAAAAACCTCCAAACCCCTAAACGTCAACAGACTGGCAACGCACTCGCAACACATCTCACGGGCGGCGCCGATTGCTTACCATTAGGTAATCCGTTTGTTTGCTCGTTAGCCAACCTACCACATAGAAAAAAGTATAATATAATAAAATAAAGCATTTGGAATGTTGGTTTTGCATACAGTGAAGTGTTCAATTGTAGGTGTGATTTTATGTTCACTACTTTCTCGCAAACGATACTACTACTGCGCGTACAAAATGTACACAAAAATTAAACTCTGGAGCGACACAGAAATATTCGTTTGCAATGGTATCAATTGAAAATAGAATACGAAAAATTTTACGAAGCTTCGAAGTGAGTAAGTGAAATACATATCTGTGAACATACAAACTTTTAACGGATGTTTTTGCAAAATCAAAAACGCGACATTCAATGACGTTTGAATAAAAAAATAGAAAAAAGAAATCACTCAAAAGCAAATTAAAATCGTTCATCGTTTATTTATTCGACGATACTCAAAAATCCAAACTGTAAAACGAATTTTCCCCTAAATCCCTTTAATTCCACTTCTGCGATCGCTTTCCAAAAAACCCTTTGTGAATCTCGAAGTTTTTTACTTCATATGAGCTCGTACCCTCTACTCGTTTCGATTTTGGAAAAAAATGTCATTTTTTATTAAAAGGTAGACTTTGAGAGACTTGCATTTGTTTTATTTTAGCGTACAAAACAATGGTTAGAGTAACCCTTTGACGGTCAAAGAGCTGATGTGTATGAGGGGAAACGAGTGAACAATACTTTGTTTATTTTATCTACCTATCCTTGATTGAGAGTCAATGTGTGGGAGAGCCGTGCTTCGGTACGAATGGGTCGGATCGACTGGAGTGATGCCACGGCCTGACAGAGAACTGACGTGAAACAACCGGAGGCCCAATCCTTCCTCTTCCCCAGTCCCTAAATCTCTAAATCCCTAATCCCTAAAATGTCAGCAACGCACTCGTAACTCCTTCGTTGCGAGTATCCAAGGGCGGCGCTGATTGCTTACCATCAGGTAATAATCTGCTCGTTTGCCGATGTATTACATAAAAAAATGTAGTGCATACAAGTCAGTATGTTTCTAGCAAAACGTAGGTACATAGTGCTGGCAACACTCTTTATTACAGGCAATGATTTCTAGATACCTATTTCTTCATTGCCTTTTTCGTATTACACTCATAGACGACTGGGTGACCATTGTAACAAAGAGACTTATAACTGGGGAAATGTGAATTCAATCAAGACCATTGTCTTGTGGAATAAAAGGGATATGTTTGTGTGGTTACACGTGCCACTGCAACGGCCACTACGAACAATATTCACAATGCAGGTACACGTTCTCGCGGCCGCCATTGTGCAGCTCGACCACGCGGCACTTACATGCATGGTCGAGAAGTTAAATAGGGTGCAAATACTTCACGTAGGAAGTGCAGTTTCTTTTGTTGAGGTCTTAATTGCTGTAGAAAACGGAGCAAAGAAGGCCATAATGAAACTGTGCCGCTTCCGACTGCGGCCCAAAGAATTATGTTATAGTTTTCGCGATGACATTAAAAGCCTGGCGCAGCCACCATATGTCTTATTCCAAGTGTCAATAAAAGTCCAGAAGTATTTAGGATCTTCCTGCAGTATCTGATTACCCATCGTGAATTAAATTAAAAATGTCGTAGATTAAAAGACTGTGTGAATATGTATGATCGCTGCCTTTGTTATCTAAGAACCATTTTCGTATTGATAAGTATTGATGATCGTCCCAACCAGATCAATTTGACCCAATTTGTATGAAATTTGAACACTGTACTTAATTAAGATTTTAATCAAGACATGAGACATCCGCAAGTCTAAGTCAACATCACGAAAATATACCATTAATTCACAGAACCCCAAACAAACCGGCGTTTGCACATCTAGTGTTTTACAATTATGTCATTTATTATCACGACTGAAAGGTTAAAAATGGATTGCAACTCAACATACTCTTTGAAATCGTATTATCAGAAGCTCCAGGGCGTAACAGCAAATTGAAAGCATCGCTATCAATGTCGGCCTGCACTGAATGATATTAAGTAAAAGGCATCTTTAAAATAGATACAGATACCTGGAAATTCCACTATTTTGAAGTACGTTGTCGAAAACGTTCGAACGATGTTCGAGAATTTTCCATGCAACATTCTGACCTGTAACTTAGTTCTTCGATATGACACTAATGACTTTTATGTATGTAATGCTTGCTTCAAGTCGAGCGTTTGACGTAAAGAGTAATATGATAGTGAGAGTTCTAAATTCAAATTGATAAAATTTGAATTTAGAACTCTCACTTTAGGTGTTATAAAATCAGATAAACTGGCACCAAGTTACCTGAATTAAAAAGAAAAACAAGGTTACGCAAAGCTGCAAAACCGTTAATTGAATTAATCTTTTAAAAATATTCACAAGATCTTACTTGAGTGTGTATTTGTGTCCTTTGTGTTGAAAATACATTATTATGCCTAAGTCTAGGCATTTAGAAGCTGTTGAAATAAAAATAACATAATTTACCTACGTAAAACATCGCGACGTACCCATATGTGTAAATAATTTGCAATGTAAATCCACTTTAAATGCACGGCTAGTACAGTAACTGAGCAATCAGTGCTGCAAAAGAATGAAAATAATCGTGAAAATAATCCAAGCGGCCATTATAGGCATTGGTGCATGCAACAACTCTTTGTGAGATTATCAAATTGTTGTTACAGGTCTAGTCTCTCAAACCAACGCATGACCAAAACTCATAAAACACGATAAAATCATCACAAACTACAAAAACCCAGAAGATCTAAATACTTAACTCACCCTTAGTAATAAAATTTAATTACGTGTCCAAACCAGTAGCACAGAACCTAGGGTTAAACCCTCTTTGAGTAGAGTCACAAGTTCTTTGAAACTTAATCAAAATAGCCATCACCCCATGCCGAAGGGGTAATATAAAAGGCCGCCATCATAGTTTTCAAATTAATATTGACCAAAACGAGAGCGGGAATTGATGCACTCGCGGATTATGCTTTCCATTTACAGAACTGCAGTCATTAAAAACATTTAGGATTAAAAAGAGTGCTCCAATAGTGTTTTTTTCGATGGGTATTTGGCCCAATGTAATGTTTATAACAATTCACATAATATAGGTATTACTTTTTCATCAGATGTGTTGACGTGGTGCAAATAATTGTGGATCAAAAATCCCAATGATTCCTAATTAATTAGAAGTTCTACAAGCGTGATCAAGAAAATTATAAAACTAAACATTATCGGAACTGTAAACAGAAACAAGCAGTAAGTGAATGTCGAACAGTTCTTATTAAAAAGTTTTCAATTTATTTTCCCATCGGGAAAAGCGGCTTAGTTTGTTTAGCAATGGAACCATCGAAGCCTATTTTTCACTATTGCTATTTTTGCAATTTCTTAATAAACAATGTTGGATACCGTTTCAACAACGTTCGTAACAACTTTACTACTATTGGCTTTTATTAGAGGTTTTAATTCTGCACACTCAGATCTGACAGTTGGAAACTGATACTTCGACAGCGTTGCAATTGTGAGTTTACTTAGCTAGTCCCGGAGACACCAATGGGAAGTTTCTAGAATCAAAGGAATCTAAAGATATTACACAATCATCATCAGCTTGTGTGAGAGCCCACGACAAGACTATAGTCTTCATATACAAATAAGAGTTCTGCCGTTGCAGTATGTAAGAGCATTACAAATCGTATTTTTAAAGATACAGTTGTGTTTGACCATGCTGCAAGTTAAGTATGTTCTCTACTGCGAATTAAATTGCCGAGTACCCTCTAAGAGAGACTATTCGGCAGTGTAATTCTCCTCTGCCGCAATCACACGCCTTGTACTAAATACACTTAGATTTATTTATATCAAAATAGTGACTAGCTTTTAACTCAGTTCATAGCCCTTCTTCAATAAGATGCTCTGATGTCAATAGAAAATATCCGTCGCGACAGGTAATTCCAGACATTAGTGCGTTGAACCTTTGGCGTCAGTATAGTATACAAATTATTATTATTAATGTCTAGCCCTTGTCCCTGTTGATAGTCTAGGCGCAAGCGCGTTTCAGGATTTAGTTCCGAAGACAGACTTTCAATTTTATAATATGATTTTTAATCGGATTTTGAAACGATGTCGGCTTATTTGTTATTTTTATTATTGGATCACTAAAATAAAGGTTAGTCTTAACAAACAGTGAAGTAACCACCACAAAGTTCAACTGTAATTTACCTTTTGCCATAGTATTCGATGGTTCATAGAAGAATACCAGCTTAGAAATTCATCCTCTGTCACAATCAGATTTCTTAAAACGATTATTTTCATTGTCTGAAAGTTTGACT